AGAGAGAGAGAGGAGCGGTCTCGGCGTTCCGATACGGCCGGATTTAATTCCTATCGGTTGTCCTAATTTATCGCGGCTTCGGGCTTCCATCGGTAAATCCGGCGCGGGGGACGGATGGCGGTGACGGAGGAGGAGAAACAAGGGGGAGGGAACGGGAGGAGACGGGGGTTTCCGCGGGCCGCCGCAACGGAGGAGAGTACCCTATTGATCGAGACGAAGGAGAGGAAAATAGCCGTCGAAACGAGCGGGCGAATGAACGAGCGTGTGCGAGTGCCGTTCCGTTCCGTTTCGTTTCGCCTCGTTTCTCCGAGGTGCGGGAGACCCCGTCGGAAAAAAATGTCTCCATTCTCGCCTTCCGTCGGCTTTGCGCCCCCCCCCCATCCTCTCCCTTGGAAAACCCAAAAGGAACGGGGGGAAAGAGGGGGGGAAGAAAAAAGGAAAACCGCGTGTCACGTGTTCTCGGGCGCCGGGGGTCAAAACGCGTGGCACCGCGTCCCACGGAGGGCGGAAATCCATAAAAGAAAGAAGAAGGAATGTGCCGGACGCCCGAGAGCGTTAAGCCAACGTGCGCAATACGGTGTAAGCGACGGTAAATGGACGTAATTACGCGACGCCGAAACAGCGCGGCGGCGTACACATTCTCCGCGTGACGAAACGCAAAGCCGGGAATAAAACTCATAGAGCGGGGGCAATCAATTAATAATTTATTAAGTCGATAAATTACACTCAACTTTTTACTCCCCGTCCTCGCGCCGCTACATCGCAGATAAATCTCTCCTTAATCCCCACGTTGTTCTTTTTTCCCTCTTCGTCGCGCATTGGGGAACTTTGGTAATAAGAATCTTTTATTTTTTTCCTTTCCTTATCTCCGAACCGAGTTTCGCCGATCGTAAGGAAGGGGGGGGGGGGGGGGGGGTTGCGAGGGTCTGCCGACATACCTCTTGAGAAAGAGAGAGGGAGAAAGGGTGCGGGATCGCGGCGCGAAAAAAACTAAGAGGCGTTCAGCGGCCCCATGAAAGTTTGATCGAGTCGATCCACGGGGATTCGGGGGAGAAAAAAAATCGCCCGTTCCGAGATACGAATGGCAGACGGAGGAGCGCGGAAGTGTGCCGGGTCGTTACAACGAGGTGGCTCGCGCAAGCGTACGCTTAAAAGCTTCATCCTGGAGGCAGAGGGAGCCGCGAGAGAGAGAGAGAGAGAGAGAGAGAGGGAGAGAGGCGTGGGAGAGGTAAAATTCGTGACCCCCGCCGAGTTTACGCGCCGGTTCCTAACACCGGGGTAGTTGTAGTTGCGAGCCCTCCGCCCCTCGGCTACGCGCTTCCGGATAACGCGATCGTTGAGACGATACGTAGGCAAATACCGGCGCAGGCCTCTCGCAATTCCCGCGCTTTATTGTACCATCAAATATCATTGCATGATTTATTATTAAACCGATAAGCCTCAGCGGGAAATTTTATTGACACATCGCGCAATGGATTTACTTCCGATTGATGAAAATTTCAGCGGCGGCGTTAAATACAAGTGATATTCAACGCGTCATCGTGCGCCGCGCGTAGAAATGGATGACGGTGAAATCCGCGCCGATAAACGAACGTGGTAATTTAATCCCCGGTCGCTTTTTTCAATTTTAATTATAAAATCGCTTATGACGGAAAGGCCACGAGTAAGTTCCGCGTCTCTTAACGAGCGCCCGCGCGAACGGATACTTTTAACCCGATCGCGCGCGCGACGAGTGCGGAGATGAATCCTCGGATTTATCGCGGGCGAGGCACCTTACGCTCGAGCCGAGACTCGGGGGAAGGGCGAGGGCAAACGCGAGATAACCATCCGTATTCGCGTTAGCGGCGGTGTTTGATGCGACATTTTTTTTTTCGTCCCGACGACGTCCCTTTTACCCCGGCGCGTCGCAGTTAGAATTAAGTTAATCCGGAGTTCCATCCCTCCCTTTTCCACCCTCTCGCTCTCTCTGTCTCGTCTATAAAAGTAGATTTCCCGGCCGTAATCCCGCGAGCATAAAAGTTGCTCTTACTGCTGCGACATTATTGCGTATGGAGACACACACAGGGCGAAATTCCCGTGTAGCCTTTCCCGCGCGTGCACACGTACGGCGCGACGGCGCAATTTAATCGGAAACGGGGGCGGGTACGGAGCGGATGCGCCCGCGCTTTTAAAGGGCCCCGGCGAACCGCGCCGAACGGGGTATGTATTTATTATTGTTTCACCATTCGTTCGAGGCCCAGGCGACAAGATCGAATTAACCGGCGCGGCACCGGCCGAGTAACGAAGCGCGCGTCAAAACACTCGGCGCTCATTTCCGGGTGGATTTAATTTGCCGCTATTTACCCGCTTATATTTATAATCGCCGCGATACGCGTCCCGCGGTTTATTTATTAACGTCGCGACATTCGGCCGTGGCCGTCCGGAGTCGCTTTCTCGTCGGACAAAGGTAGGAAGAAGGAAGCGCCGCGGCTTAAAGTCATTTTCACGCGACAGCTGCTGCTGCTGCACCCGCCGAGCGTCTCCGCGCCGACGGGTCCCTCGAAAGGGACGGAGGGGCCGAGGGCAAAATAGACCCCGCGTTTAATCATTACGCTTTTTCGCTTCGCGTCGGGGCGTGCAATTTCGTTGCGTTTTCGGCCGTCGCGGTGTGTCAGGCGAAATTCAAAGGGACAGGACCCGCGGGTCACAAAGAAAGCTCACCGTTTTGTCGCTTCCAGGTCTATTATGTGACCGTTCCTCTTCCAATGGAGGGTCGGCTCCGGATGGCCGCGAGGCGGTCCGCACTCCAGCAAAGCCGTCTCCCCGGCGGCGACCCTCGTGTTCTGCGGCTCCGCGCGAAACTCATCCCGCAGCACTGCAACAGACAACAACCCGTCACGATGATGCACCGTTGCATTACAAAAGACACCGCGTCGCCGGTCGCCCGTCCGGGAAGTGGACAATACTTGCCCGCGCGCAACTAGGACAACAGGGAGCGACGGGGGAGCGTTTGCGTTTTTTCTTTTCCCCCTTTTTGTCCTTTTCCCTTTTCGGACGGACGAAAGTAGGGCGTTCTCGCGTTTATATTTTTTCACCCTTCGCTATCAAAGTCATTTCATTGAATCATTTTGATATCGACTTACTCGCCGAAGGTGCCGTAACTGCGTTCAGCTCGGAGCGCGCGCACGCGCGCGCTCTGAACTTTAACAAGCTTTCACAAAAGTCATTCGATTTTTCGCTCGTGTACCACCGAGCGCGGAACTGGGACAAACTAAAATGAATTTCAAATACCCCGCGATGGGTCCGGAAGCGGGTAAAAAAAAGAGAGAGAAGGGGAGGAAGCGTATTCTTGGGTGACCGTCTCGTCGTCCCAGCTGGATCTCGTGTAATTATTCTTCGCTGAAATCGTAGCGCCGTAATATTTTAATAATTCAGGCTTATTCGGTAACGTTTATTTGCGTCCCGGCGACTCCATTCTCGATAACATCTCTTCAAGATTTCTAAAATTACTCGGGCGGTATTCAAATAAGGAAACTCAAACAGCAGCTATTTCGAATGGAAAATATTTCCAGAATACCCATGCGTCTTTAGAAATTTGTGTATGAAAAGACCTAGATGCCCTACTATTCAGTCTTTGTAAGAATGCGGAGAGGGAGAGGGAGCGAGAGAAAGAGAGACAGAGAGAGGGAGCGAGATGTGAATAAGCGTTATACATATATAGATATATAAATGTGAAAATATTTGAGAGAGTCGACATTATTCCTCCGTCAACAGGGGAATTCTAAATCGGGTCGCCCCGAATAGATTAGGGCCTATATTTGAATTGTAAACCACGAGTTACAAAACTGCGCGATACAGGGAAACGGAGATGCATGCCATCGGATGTATTACCGGGTTAAGCGTGGAGCGACTACGGAATGAGACTGCGAGAAACACGCGGCGTGAGGCACGAAGCCCGCCGCGTGCCAGGCTGGAAGCTACGAATTGAAATTTGAGACAAACGGAGGGAAAGAGGACGAAAGAGGAAGAGAGAGGGGGGGGAGAGAGAGAGAGAGAGAGAGAGAGAGAGAGAGAGAGAGAGAGAGAACTCCCGACGGAAGAAAGGTCGCTTTCATAGTCGGCAAGGACGGCTTGAAAAACGTGGGTCGCTATCTCGGGTCCCGAGACCCTAACGATTCCGACGGTGAATCAAATGTAACGCAATTTCTCAGAAAACGAGGAGGGAGAAAGAGAGAGGCAGAGAGAGAGAGAGAGAGGGGGGGGAGATAAAGGGGTTGGTTCTCGGTCATTCTCGAACGTAGTCGCCTCGGTCCCGGGTCCGAGCTTTCAACCCCTTTCGCCGTGTCGCAGCGGCACTCTGTAAACTTTCCCCGGGAGTGACGTTCGCGGGAGGTCGGGACCCAACCCTCTCTCTCCCCTATATCCCACGTCCTTTGCTCTTCCAATCCTCCGCGGTCGCCTCGCGCACCTTATACGGTATATACCGAATTTACGTGAATCCCATAGGCTACGCGCGCGCGCGCGCGGCAACGTGAAAAATGGGGATTGCGCCCCCGTGGGCCAGGTATACGTCACGTAAATAGGTACACGGTGCATACGGAATCAGGATCAGGATCGGGATCAGGCGCGCTCTTTATAGCCCGGGGTTTCCGGATTATTCGAGGCTCCCACTGTCTCAATCTAAAAGGATACAAGATAGCCGCGTGGATAAATGCGCATGCGAAATGGGGGGGAGGGGGCGTAAGCGGTTTCCCAAAGTCGATTACAGCGATTGCGAGAGACGGCGAATTTATTTGCCCCTTTAAATAATACCATTTCAATAACGCGCCGTTGTTCAAGCGTGCGTTTAACGATTTAACGATTACCGTTTTCGTTAAAATCAAACATATCGCTTTGCGTTACATTTATGACCTGTGTCGCGCGCGTGAATCCACGCTGATGAAAAAAAAGATATTACTTTACTCAAGAAAATTATTCATTAAGTGTTCTATAAAATGTTTACTAAGATGTAAGTTTTACAGCGAAGAAAATTGGATTTCTTATTTGACAAAAGCAATGATTTCATTTAATAAATAGTATTCTATATCTCGTGAAATCTTTATTTGAATGTAGAAAATGTCACGGTTTAAATTAATTTACTTAATATAACACGTAGATTTACTGGAAATTTAACATTTTTACTTAAAAAGAATAAATATTTACTTCAGTAAAAAAAACAATTCTAAGTAAATCTATTTACTTGGTTTAAACAAATTTTGTTGTCAGCGTACTTTCCGCGATCTCGCGACAAAATAAACTACACGAATGCAACACCAGTTTAAGACGAAACCGTAACTCCCCGCGGTATTTTTTTAAATCTTCATCGCGGTGTCTAGACTACCGATGTGACATATGCAGATTAAGATCTTACTGGAACTGCTCTCATTAGCGGCGGTCGCCGCTTATTGCGACGGCGCATTTTACGGCGGTCATCGCCGGCCAGCGCCGGGCGGCGAAGAAAATCTCAATCTCGCGTCGCGGATCTCGTTTACATTTACATAGAGCGGGACTCGAATCGATAATGTGACACGGTCGGGCGGCGCGGTGCGCGCGCGAATGTCGCGACATTATACGCGGGGCGTATCGGAGAGCCGCGGGCTAAAATTAGACCGCGCGGCGGCAAAATTATCTGGTCGTGTACCACGTATCCGCGCCCGCATTTACATAGGAATAGCGGCGGCGTAAGGAGCGCTTTATTTATGCCGCGGACGCCGAGCGCGAAACGCGCGCCTCGCGTCACGCGATCCCCGGCTCGGCGCGGCGCGGCGCGTGGGCATTTCTGGTCCTGCGGGATGAACGAACGGCGACCGGTCGGCGGCGACCGCGGGAATTGACTCGCGCCAGTTCGGAGCGCGATTTACTGATCGCGCGCCAAAAGGTTTCCCTCCGCGCGCGAGAAAGAGAGAGAGAGAGAGAGAGCGAGCCGCGTCTCCCTACGCGAGCGATCGATATCATCGCAGCACTCCCGGGCATCCCGCCGCTGAATCCCCGAGTGTGTTTTCTGTGCCAACGACCGCGCATAATCGATACTTCACAGTTCGAGCCGCAGAGGAGAGAAAAAAAAGGAGGGAAGAGAGAAATCATTTTATCGGTCGCGTCGGAAGCGTCCCGGTCCTACAATCGGCGCCGACACGCCGCGACCGGTGTATCCCGGCGTCGCGGATCGTTAGCCGCCGTGAACCGCGGCCGCACACACGCACGTTGTTGCGTCTCGCACGCGCACATAGAGAGAGAGACGAGGGCCAGGTACACGCGTATACACGGAGGCTCACGCGCATCGCCACTTCCCTTCCGTGTAATGCCGTTAATTTGGTATTGTAGGCGATCGTGGCTAATGGTTTCCAGCCGGGAGCAGAGTATCGACCGAATTTCGATGACGCCGTTATTATCATCGTGCGGTGAATGCGCTTTAATGAAGCGTGCATCCAGTACGAATAACGAATGTCTGACGATCCGGCCCAATTACGCGGCAAGAAGTCGCGCGGCAAAAGCCGAGCGCGTCACTTTCGCCGAAATGTTTAGACGGGGCGGAACTTCGCCGGGCGGGGGTCGTTGGTCAGGAAGAAACGTGTCGCAAAACAATGGGGCGAAACGGCCAAACTTTGGCACTATTAGCGTCGACGAGACGGGGGCGGGGCGGGGGAGAAGGCTGTTCTACGGGCTTTCTACGGGAAATCCAACGGTCCTATGCCGGGATTCTTAACGCGAGTATCAGGACACGAGTACCGTCGTAAGCGTATTCCTCAACTTCGCCTCGTTCCTTCTTGCGCGACGCGAGTGCGCAAAAAAATTTCATGTCGAAAGTTCCGCGAGAAATAGGGCGCCGCGGATGCGACATAAATCGCAAACGCGACGCCGCTGTTAACATAAAGCAACACTTTCCGTTCGATAAAAACAGTAATTATTAGATCGTTAAACGCGAACAATGCCATTGTCGGGACTCTTTTGTTTAAAAAAACAAACAAAAAACAAATAAACTCGGTGTCTCGCGATTGCGCGAATCGATTTCAGAAAACCGTTTCACGCTCCCCGACGATTAACTTTTTTGCCGGGCGAAAATTGTCTCTCGATATTCCGAAGAACCCGTCCGTTTCGAGCGCGAGGATGGAAAAAAAACAAAAATTCGATCCGCGATAACCCGACATCTCGCGCGACGTCTCGCTGTTTTTAACATATAAAAATTCTTAATGTCCCATTAAAACGTCCCTTGACGAGCGCGCCATTTCGAGGAGAGCCCAGCTTCCCTCTTGCGCGGTCGCCGGGGTCCAATTAGCTCCGAGATACGCGTCTCCGTTTGCGGTATCGGCGATCGTACTCATCAACGTCCGTCACGTCGCTTTCGGTCCCTCGTTCGCAGGATAATTCCAGTCGGGCAATTACTTAGTCGGCCATTCGTCGACGTTACGTTAAGCGCTCGAACGGACGTCATCGTTCGACTCTCTCTCTCCCTCTCTCTCTCTTACACTTTCGTCTTCCTGCTCTCACGCTTATCCTCTCTCTAATCGAGCCTGAATGGCGGGCTCGAGATATCGCGCTAATAGCACCTAAAGCTCCTTGCTTTTCGTTAAAGTCTTTCGAGCACGATGATTCCTGCCCGCCGGCGAGAGGCTGTTTCCGCGTGCTTTTCCCTCTCCCTCCCTCCCTCTCTCTCTCTCTCTCTCTCTGTCTCTTTCGCGAGCGAACGCCGGGCGGAAGTTAAAGACGCTAGTTGCCGGCAGTTGGCGGCGAGTGAGTCGCTCCAGCGAAATCTAATCCAAGTTTATACGTGCTTCCAGTCCAATTAGGTACAAGTAGGCACCGGAGCGCGAGGCAACAGCGGCGGCAGCGGCGGCGGCG